AAGAAATAATAGATATATAAAAAAAGTATTATAATAAGGAATTTAAGATATATAATAAAGTTATATTTTATATAAAGAATATTTAATAGCTATAACCTAGTATAAAGCTAGTAAATAAATATCTCAATTTCTTTAAAATTCTAGAAGTTATAGAAATATATAAATAAGTATATTATTTGAAATTATTACTATTATATTAGATTTATAATATTTTTTATATTTTTTTCTTAGAACTATAATATCTATAAACTAGTATTATAGTAGAACTAGAACTAATTAAGATTAAAAACAAAAAAGAATTCGAGATAAAATCTATTATAGTTTATAGAAAAAATAGAAAAGAAAGGAAATATCTTATTTATTAGAAAAGCTATTTACTAGTAAATAATATATAGGAATTACTAAATAATCTAGAGAATATAATTCAAGAATTATAAGAATACTTAGAAAAAAGTAATATTATAATATAATACTTATTATAATATAATACTTATTATAATATAATACTTATTATAATATAATACTTATTATAATATAATACTTATTATAATATAATACTTATTATAATATAAATACTTATTATTAATATAATACTTATTATAATATAATACTTATTATAATATAATACTTATTATAATATATACTTATTATAATATAATACTTATTATAATTATAATACTTATTATAATACATAATACTTATTATAAATATAATACTTTATTATAATATAATACTTATTATAAATATAATACTTATTATAATATAATACTTATTATAATATAATACTTATTATAATATAATACTTATTATAATATAATACTTATTATAATATAATACTTATTATAATATAATACTTATTAAAATAACTATTAGTTTACTAGTAACGCATGGCACCGTTATATAGTCGTGAAATGCTATTTGTATAAGTTAGTAAAGTTGTTATTATTCAGAAGTAAGGATTGCAATATCATAGTATTAATATGCGATCCCTAAATCTGCTAAGCCTAAAGGGGTCTAGTCTACTGGTTGAGTCACGCATGTGACGCGAGGTCACATGACCCAGAAAATTCGTAGTACAGCTATTCCAATAATAACTTATTAAAATAACTTATTAATTATTATATTCTAGCTAATATTCTTTATTTCTTATTAAAAGAGCTTGTTTATATATAATAATACTAAGAATAAAGCTCTAATTTTTAAGTATTTATAAATCTTAATTATTTATATTAATTATATATTCTTTTATAAAACTTTAAGGATATTTTCTTAATATTCTTTTATTTATTATAAATTATTATACTAGTATAATAGGGATTTTATCCCCTGGTCACGTGGTTCTGTCATGTGACCTCCGGACATCCATACAGTCCGCAACCCGCTTATATATTACCCCTCTTTCCTTCTTAGTTTAGAAATCAACCAACCTTCACTCTCTAATTTCACGCCTCACTCTCGTATGCTGTAATCCCACGCTGTGGAAGCCCATTCTATACTCTATATTACTCCGTATTTTATATCCCTATTATACTAGTAGCTATATATAAATATCTATTATTTAATTAAAAAATAATTTTCTTTTATTAAGTTATTTGAATTTATATAATTACTAGCTCTAGTAATATAATAGAAATATAAAACAAGTAGTAATATATAGAGATAGAATAGGCTTCTATAACATGAAATTATAGCATACGAGTGAGACGTGAAATTAAGAAGTAAAGGTTAGTTAATTAATTCTAAAATAGAGAAGAAAAGAGGAGTAATATATAAGCGGGTTACGGACTGCAGACGTCCGGAGGTCACATGAGAGAATCACGTAACCAGGGGTAAAATCCTTACTATAGTAATATTTTAGTAAATAAAGAAATACTATAAGAACTAATAATTATTATATTATATATTACCCAAACTTATAATTACGGGCTTTATACTTAAGTCTTATTTTAAGCTTTATATTATCTCTCAACTCTTTACTTCTTTAATAAGATCACGTGACTAAACGATTATTTATAATTATTTATAATATAATTATTAGGTATCTAACTTATTTTATTTTATTTTCCGGCCGTTTTAATTAATTAAATTTTTTAATATATAGCCTATTATCTAAAGAGTAAAAACAAGGGAAATGGAATTCGCAAGCACTAGCTATTCTCAAACGAAAATTTGGAAGCTATTATTTTTCTCATAACTGAAGTCCTATACCAAAACACGTCCCGTACCAAAACATGCAAAAAACACGTTTAATACTACTACTAAAATACATAATAAATTTATTAAATCAAGTCATATTAATAAGGCAATGGCTATAATTCAAAGAGAGGAGTTTACTTATTATACTAATATAGCTAGGAAGTTTAAATATAACCATAGTACTATCTTCAGACGAATTCATAGCCTTATAAAGTCAAAGAAGAAAGCGAATTTATTTTAGTACTAATATTTAACTATTAAGTAAGAGAAGTATTTAATTTATTAAATTAATATTCTTACTAATTAAGAAATATTACTAACTAGTTATATTATTAAAAACCTTATAGAGGAGATTAAGAAAGGGCTACTAGGAAAGAACTAGGTTAGCTAATTTGTAAAGTATTACTCTATTAGGCTAAAGAGCCTTTATTTATAAAATATTAATAATTTATATACTAGTACTAAGTATATTCTAATATTCTAATTATTTTTTAGTATAGTTTATTACTTTATTATTATTATTTTATATATATATTACTTGGATATCTACTAATATATATCTATTTTACTAGCTTATAATAATAATTAAGAAATATTAAATTATAGCCGAAAATATATATAACTTTAATAAAAAGAAATTCTTAATAGGATATAGGTAATCTTTAAAAAGAATTATAACTAGAACTACTCTAGAATTAGGTTAAATCTCTAAGTTAAAGTAAGATAAAAGCCGCAAATTTATTAGTATCTTAGCTTATATATCTATAATCAGAAAATAAATACTACTACTTTTAATATATTAAAGTAAATCGGGAAATCTTATAAATATATAAGTTAATAAAGTTATAACTAATTTAAAGGCTTATTTTACGGTTTTATATAATAAATAGTTAAATAATATAATTAAGCTATCTTAGCTTTAAAATATATTTAAATAATATACCAAACTACTATATATAACTCAAAAATATCTTCTTATTATTAATAAGTATTTAAGTTATATTAATATAGTATTTATTAATTAGGCTAATTAATATAGTATAATTTTATTAATTTTATTCCTATATATGACTTACTGGCTTTAGCCCCTTAATATTAGACTTTTTTAACTATTATTAACTATATATTCTTGGGAACTTAATATAATAATAAACGAATTGGGCGGGCTTATTAGAATAAGCAAAAGCTTCTTTTAGCCAAAGTTTAAGAGATCTTGGGATAAGATATTTATAGAAAAGAATATCTAATTAGTATTTTGCAAATTAGGGATATAACTAACTAATAGTAGTCTTATTATTAAGACTATTACTTGTCCTATACTTATATTACCTGAAAAACTATCTGGATTATATCCTCCAAGATCTGTAAAATCGATTTATTAATTTTATTAAGTATATAATAAAGAACCTATGATTAATAAGGTCAAGACGATTTTCTTAACCACGCTTTACCTCGCCGTACGAATCTCTGTTCTAGAGTACGAAAATCGAGGTTTATATAAAGTAATCGAGCTTTAAAAGAAGAAGGGTCGACAGGGCGTTCGTTTGAATCTTGCTAGCGAGGCAAATAAGGGCTTGATTAATTACTATTCTCCTGGGAAGGTTATTAAGGCTAGGGAGTACCAAGAAGAGAAGGAAAGGCTGAGAATCGCAGAGGAGGAAGCTAAATTGGAAAGAAAGATTAAAAGGGCCGCAAATGCCCTTAGAAAGAAACAGGAGAAGGCAAAAAGAGCGGCAGATAGGGAGGCTAAGGCTGTCCAGAAGCAATTGGCGGGGGACGTAGAGCTGGCCGCCAAGAGAGTACCCAAGAAGCAGCCAGTTTCTATTGCTCCCAAGGCAAAAAAAGCTGCTCTAGTGGTATTAACTAAGCGGAAAGTACCTATTAAAGCTAGGCGCCCTGCAAAGGTAGTGGTATAGCAAGAGGTGATTGCCCAAATTAGTAAGGTAGTCATATTGGGGGTAGTACAGGCGAAAACGAGTACGCGTATAATTATGCTACCATAACGCTTTAGAAAAAAAAACTGAATTGCACAAGTTCAAGATCTCAATTGACTCTACCCTGTAATTTAATATTATTTTATTTGGATAAGTGGTTGTAGAGTAATTAATTATTAAAGTTCGGGGCGAAATGCGAATTCGCGTATTTTTGATGCGGGACGTATTTTGGTGCGGGGCATCGGTTAATACAAGTAAATGCCGTCGTGATTCCGAAATGGCTCGGTCAACCCGGTGAGTCGGCATAGAGTTCTAATTGTCAGTGCCGAATCGTCCAGTCACGAAGTTCGAGACTCCGCAAATCGAACGCCAAGGAATGGGAAGGCAGTCTACGGAGTAAGCTGAGAGCTGGTAAGGTTTTGTGTCGCGAGAACAAATGATTCCGTCCAATTGGCACCCCTCCATACAACCTGTCGCAATTGAGGGTGGAAAACGATACCGTTCCTAGGGTCCACACTCCACCCAGTGATTATCACCTGCCTTTTCGGCAGGATATATGTGAGTGATTATGCAAACTATGATTCCCGAAGCCAATAAGCCACAAGATAAATGCCGGGGACTGGGGTACGCTGCAAATACCGTGAATTTTAGCACCTACCTTATTAGGCTCATTCACGACCTATCAGTGTCGCAAAGTAAAATCGGTGGAGCAAACGATTATCCTTTGATAGCAAGGAGATAAGATGTTGCGAGGGCAAGCCTACTTGATGTTTTCTCCCACTCTTAAATCTAGATGGAGGAACTTGACTTCTTTGATTCCCATGTCATTCAAGGTTGAACAAATAATATACGTCGGACGTCTACGTCACCATGTCAACAAATCAGCTCGAAACATCCGCAGTTCTGCAGGGCCCGCCTCCAGTGGAACAGAATGATGGTATATCCAACGAGAAGACAACTGCTGTAGGCCACTACATTTTGGCATTTTGCAAGTTGGAAGGGGGCTAATCAGAGTTTTATAGTCTACCTATGAACCCGTCGTCGATGATTTTCAGATCGAGACGTAAGAAATGTCATTCTCTATCCGCTCAAGCGTTTAACAATAGTGTATAGAGACCTAAACGTGACCGAGGATGATCTTCTCCAGGCCAGGGAAGCCGCAAAAGGCTTCACGCTTGAAGAAACGCGTGAGGTGTCTTCCACCTTCTTATTCCATATTGATTGATGTTTGACTTTATCTTCATAGATGATGAAAAATGTTATGAAGGTCCACGAGAAAGACCCAAACTTTCCCGTATTGATCCTTGACAGAATCAATGAGTTCCTTGGCAATGAAGATATTTTCGATCATCCAGAGAACTACAGCGAACTCGTCGCTGAGATGAAAACCGAGGCGGCTCTAATCACGAACAATAGTCCATACGCCGAGGTGCGGGCTGTGGTCAGCAATACCGACGATGTTAATATACCAAGTTCTACTATACGGGCCTGGGTATGCCGCTTCTGAGAACCCTTTTTTGACACCATTTACCTGTTACAGGAAGTAAAGCCTAAAATATTCTGATACTGACTTCCAAATCTGCAGGTCATTGGTCTGCTATTCGTTGTCGGACTAGCCTTCATTAACCAACTCTTCTCTATTCGACAACCCCCGATCAATATCCAGGCCAACGTAGTACAGTTGCTGTGTTACCCAGTTGGAAGAGCAGCAGCTGCATTACTTCCAGATTGGGGATTTACACTTTTTGGATCTCGACATAGCCTGAACCCAGGCAAATTCTCGACAAAAGAGCACATGTTGATCACCATCATGGCCAGTGTCGGTTATGCTACACCATACACTGATAATATAATCTGGGCTCAGTATCTTCCTCAGTACTTCAACCAGAGTTATGCAGGTCACTTCGGTTACCAGATTTTGATCGCACTTTCTACCAACTTTATCGGCTACGGCATTGCTGGTCTCTGCAGAAGGTTCCTTGTTTATCCCGCGCAGTATGTAGTACCTTTTTTTGTCCCTTATGCTCATATTTTTGAATCTTCACTGTCGTTGAAGCATTGTAAGTGCATCCAGAAACGCTGATATCCGACCTATAGTTGTGTGTGGCCTGCGTCTCTAGTCACTATCGCGCTGAACGATGCTTTCCACACGGAGAAGAACATCCCTGTTCCAGGCCCTCTGAAGAGATTCTTCACCACTTCGCGTCTGAAGTTCTTCTCTTATGCTTTCGTGGCAATGTTTATCTGGTTCTGGTTTCCCGATTACCTTTTTCAGGCTTTGAGTATTTTCAACTGGATGTCCTGGATTGCTCCAAACAACCTGAAGCTCAACACTGTCGTCGGATTCAACAACGGTCTCGGACTCAATCCATTCCCAACATTCGACTGGAATATCTTACTCTGGGACGACCCTCCACAGGATCCCTTGATGGTGCCGTTTTTCAATACCTTCAACAAGTTTATTGGCTCATTCCTTTCCATGTTTGTCATCCTTGCCATCTGGTATACGAACTCTTACAACACTGGCTATCTCCCAATCAACACCCCTAGAGTTTTTGACCACTTCGGAGAGCACTACAATGTCTCCTTGGCGATAAACGAGAAAGGATTGTTTGATGCTGCGAAATACGAGGCTTATTCCCAAGCCTACTTATCCGCTGGTTATCTTACCGTATACATGTTCTTCTTCGCCATATATTCCGCCACCATCTCGTACGCTTACCTGTATCACCGCCATGAAATTGCAATGGGATTCCGCAATCTGCGAAACAGTTTTCGAAGGGAGAGGGAGAGTGAGTACGAATATAAGGATGTCCACAACCGTCTAATGGCTGCTTATCCTGAAGGTTGGCTTCAACTTTCCTTCTTGATTTTCGCTACTTCATTCAAAATATGAACTAACTCAAGTAAATTTTAGTTCCCGAGTGGTGGTTTCTCATATGCCTTGTAGCTGCCATTGGTACAGGTTGTGCTGCAATCAGTGGGTGGCAGACTTACACCAGCGTTGGCGTTGTGTTTTACGGTATTGCTTTGTGTCTGGCATTTGTTATTCCAATTGGCATGATTAAGGCAATCACGGGAATTGAAGTGACCTTGAATGTTCTTGCGGAATTCATTGGCGGTTCATGGGTTGCAGGAAATGCACTTGCCATGAACTATTTCAAGAGTTATGGGTAAGCACAATCCGTTCTTCCCTGAATGATACAAGTCGTTGCGAAGATGGCTCATAATATATGTTTAGTTATGTCACCTGTGCTCATGCTCTTCGTTTCTCGAATGACTTGAAGCTGGCACACTACGTCAAGGTACCGCCCAAACACACGTTCTGGGCACAGATGATTGCCACTGTCATTTCCAGCTTGGTTTGCACGGGAGTCCTAAACTTCCAAATGAACCAAATCGAGGGAGTCTGCACCTCAACGCAAAAAGATCACTACACCTGCCCTGGAATCAACCAATTTTTCACTGCAGCCGTACTTTGGGGAACGATAGGGCCGAAAAAGGTCTTTGGATCACACGGCCAATACACTGCTTTGCTTGTGGGCTTCCCCCTTGGTTTCTTTCTTCCATTCGTTTTCTACTATACCCAAAAAAAGTTTCCCAATCAAACTTGGTTGCGGCAAGCCCACGTTGTCGCCATCATATATGGAGCTATTTCGTGGGCTCCTTACAATCTCAGCTACACTTGGCCTTCAGTACCGATTGCTTGGCTGAGCATGGTGTATATGAAGAAGAGATTTCTTGGTTTCTGGTCCAAGGTACGTACCCTCGCCTCCCTTTATGTTTCCGGTTTGAAGTAGCTGACTCACTCCGTACCAGTATAACTATGTCCTCTCAGCCTCTTTTTCCTCGGCGATTGCCATTGCTGCTATCATTATCTTCTTCGCTCTGCAGTGGACTGAGACCACTCTTGACTGGTGGGGCAATACAGTGAGCTTTCAGGGTTGCGAAAGCACGCCTTGCGTAACACATACTCTGACTGATGGGGAGTATTTTGGTCCGAGAATTGGGGAATTTCATTAGCCGCAGCCTTGACTCAAGGAGTAATTGTGAGTTGGCTGCTTTTGAATTCGGAAAGTCAGACACAAGCCCAGGCTCAGAAGGTAATATATACGGAAATGAATCAATGTACTGTACCAACGGCAAGATTGAAGTTATTTAGCTATTTATATCCACTCGACAAATTGTTGGTACTCAATCCTACTGATATAAACACCCTTCCAAGCATTCCTTTATTCCTGTAGCCCAGTCTGCCCTTCCAATTCGAGTTGTCTTTGACCGACCGAGGCTCATAAAATTCCTCGAGGCACTTCCCCTCGTCTTCCGTCAGGTAGTGTCTCCTGGTTAGCAGCAAGTGCATCGTCCATCCACTCTACGCTGCTGAAGCTGCTACTAGGGCTTGCCACCCGCTAATTAATCCACGCCAGAGTAACTTGACTAACCGTGCAGCCCCCCTGCGAGCCACTTCCTCAATGAGACCAATGATAAAAATAACCTGCTCGGTAAACACCTTATCCTTTGCCCTGGCCGTTGTCTGATCCCTCGCAAGTCGAGCTAAGTGAGCGGTATTCTGTGGACCTCGAGGAACAAGCCCGACTCCAGTTTAATTGCAGAACTTGTTCGTCTTGCGCTCTTCTTCGCGATAGATACCCTTGTAGTTGTCCTGCATTGAGACGAACTCAGTCCCACCGCTTTCGCTTGAGCGATGCATTTACGGGGTTGAAGATTCCTTGCCGAGAGAGCTTGAACTAATGGAGCTAATCTAGGTGACCCTTTAAGTCCTTCTTACTCAAATCCAGTAGATCTTCGGTGTTGCTTTCTTGAGAGATATTGTAGCATTTGGTCAGAATGGCCAGCTTTTGTCGTTGAATGTTTTACTGGCGAATCGCCTTGCCGAAAACGCCTTGGGAGACACCATTGCTATACGAATAAGAAGTATCCCATGTGTTCAAGCCTCGATCATAAACTGCTTTCAGGGTTGGCAAAGCTTCGTCTTCCTCGAGGGCCACAGGTTCCTCTTGACTCCTACGCCCATTCCGCCTACAACGGGCAGAGAAGTTTACAAACCACTCTAGCCGAATTGCCTATAATGCCCTCGAGGCCCTACCTCGAGTACCCTGATTGGAAAGTTCTGAAGATAGAATGGGATAAAGATGTCTTTTGATCAGTGCTGGATCGGCTTGACGAACAATTCCGGGGGTTTGAAAAATGAGGAACATGACAAGACTTTATACAACCTTCAAAATACCCCCATTTACCTTCATTGACTTTGTTGACATATTAACTTTGAACAAATGACTCACAAATGTGTTGATGTCGTGATCCTGACCTGCTTATTTTAGGGGAATCGATGCGCATTGTTAGGCCCCGTTCGGTTTGACCTATTTTGCGCTAATGGGCCACTTTTCGAAATAGCTATTTGGTCAAATCGATTTCGTCAAATAGACCCTATTTGGTGATATTCGCGTTTGTTTTCAAGCTCGTAGGAGCCGGCTTATTAATTAATATTCTATCCCGATCGGCCGACGTCTTTCGCCCTCGCGCAATATGGTCGTCCAAAAAGCACGCTTCCATACACGCCGCTTCGTTCGCAGAGGGATATTCGGTGGTTCGCGCATTGTAATCGATTGAGCATACAAAGCTGTCGCGTTAGGAGGACTAGAAATGGTAGTAATGGTGCTACAGATGGTCAAGGACATAGTTCACTGAAGATCACTAAAATAGGCATTAATAGTCGGTTCGTCCTTCGTGCACTTCGCTTACAGTCGGGAAAGCAATTGTCCCCAGTCAAATTGGTGTGGCAAACCCCACCAAAAAGTATCGCGAATTATCCTTAAAGCCAGGATTAAACTCACGCAACTACTTTAACTTTTATTTTAACTTATAAAAAGTACTTATCTAGATATAGTAGTCTATATGAAAAATCATTAGAAGGTGAACTAAGAGAAAGGTAGAGTTATTCTTACTTTTAGATCATTTTTACGACTAAAAAATTTGATTTTCCTACACAGATTTCGAACGGGGACACTTGCTTTCTGGGGACACTTGCCTTCCCCGACTGAAGCGAAGCGCACGAAGAAGGACGAACCGACTATTACCCCAATTGATAAGTTTCTTTTCGTACCAGGAACCTCGGAGCAACACAGATATTTCCTTTCCTCTTTCATCATTGAGGGAAGCGTCACGATGCAAGATAAAATCTTTATAGGGAGGATTAAAATTGATCCGGGAGCTTGTTTCCGTAGCCGAGACGAACCTTCTGCTCAAGGTTAGATTCGCGAATTGTTTACGAGGGGGTGGGTGGGGTGTTGTTGGTGACGCTATTCCTTTAGCGACTGCGGGGCAGTAGTGTCCAGGATGGACCCCCGCTTTGTGGCGGATTGGCTTACTTAGAAAACGTTCGGGAGGAAGAGGATGTAGAATTGGTGAGGTGTGCCTCGAGAGGATAAGTACAATTGGTGGCCTCAGGCACCCCACGCTTACGACTCCCTTTCTGAAGATCGCGCCTACGTAATATAGAATACCCCTATACAATAGCTAATTTACAATACTATATTCCTATTCCGATTCCCCTAAAATACTGCTATTCCGAAAACTCCGTTTCTGTCCGTCTAGAAATACTCAGTAACCCCTCCCAAAACTCTATAGCTATATTTATTTCCTCTCTATTAGCTTCTATTAATATAACTTATATTCTTCCCTTTCCGTACAGAATTCCAGAATAGTCTAGTCAGAAATCCCTATTTATATATCTTGTAATTATACTCTATTACTTTCTTTAGTTCTTATAGAAACTTTAGTACTTAAATTCAGAATAGTCTAGTTATATAGACTTTAGGTACTATATAAAGATCTTATAGTAATTAGTAGAAATCCGTTCTATACCGGATATTTTAATATATAGGTAACTTCTACTCTTTTCTACTAATTAGATAATCTTTCCGAAAGCGAAATTACTTTAAATAATTTCTATAAAAGATTCTAGAAATAGAAGTTCTATAAATCTATTATAATATATAAGATTTCTTATAATTTCTTTTATAGCCGGTAATAATAAATAAACCTCTCTATATAGAATATAGCTTCTTTCTAGCTACTTTAGAATTATATAATATTACTAACTATCTAGAACTGAATTTCTTTTTATATATTTTCCGATTATATTAATATTTTTCTTAATTTTTCCGGAAATTTAAAGCTTTAAGGATCTTCTTATAAATCTTTATTTTATAGGTAATATAGTAAAGTACTAGATTTTTCTATTACTTTCCTATTAGAATATAATCTTATTATACTAAAACTACTAATATAATTTCCGACCTGTAATATTTTAGATAGAATTATTCTAAAGACTTTTCAGATTAGTATTTCTAATATATTTTCTAAAGAAAGTATTTTAAGTAAATAATTTTATAATAATTAAATTCCTATACTATTTTTATTACTTGTAAATAAAAAAGATATAGCTTGTCTGATTTCTTTAGAATTTACTAAAATAAGTTATTAATCTTCTCGATTATACTAGTAGTATTTTTAATAGTTATAAAAATAGTTATTTAAAGTATTTCGAGTTATTATATAAAAGATTAGGGTTTCTAACTAAAATAGAAACTAGAATCTATATAGAAACTGATTAGTATTCTAGTTTTATTAAAAAGATTCTTTAGAATATTAATTATTTCCTATTAGCTATTAGAAATATAAAAATATATCTAATAAAATCTCGAAAAGTAATTAATAATTATAAGAATATATTTCTAGAGAATTTCCGAAAATTATAGAAATAGTTCTATAAAATCAATTCTTTATATTTATATAGATATATTTATTTATATAGAATTTAAAGTTTAAAATTAATAAATAGTTATATATTTTATATAAAATAAATATTCTAAAATATAATTAGTAATATTAATAAATATCTGAAACTAGTAATATTTCTATAATTTCCGGATTATAATAGCTTCTATAAAATAGCTAAATTTATTATAAATATAATATAAAATATCTATAACTTTATTTTCTATAATATAAAACTAAAAAGTATCTTTTCTATTATATTAAAGTTTTCTATTTTTATAATAATAGGAAATATAAGGTATTTATTAATAAATAATAAAATAATAGAATAAATTAGTAAGTTATAAAACTATAGTATTAAATTCAGTATAAAACTAATCTCTGTCCCTTTTATAAAGTTCAGAGAAGCCCCTTCTAAATAGGAGATCCCGATAATATATATATAATTAGTAATTTATAAGCCTAATACTTATAATATAAATAGTAGTTAGTTATAAAGTTAAAGGGCTACCGATTTTCCTAATTAATATCTGTAATATTCGAGGTTTGTTATATGCCTTTAAATTATATATAATCCTGTATATATTACAACTATATCCCCTTTCTAGGATCTTATCTCTAAAATCTATTAATTTATTCTAGTAAATATTTAATCGATTATTTATTTAATTAAGATAAACTTCTAGTATTTTAGGAGATAGTTTTACTAATATAATCTGGATAAGAGATATAAAAATCATTTAATTAGATTAGGGCTAAGTAAGTAAGAGAAAAGAGTAATTATATTCTAGATATAGAAACTAGCCGGTAATTGCAATTTCGTTTGAAATCGGAGTATTCTAATTAGCTTAATCCAAAGTACTAAGGTACTATTCTATAAAATTAATACTATCTATTAGATCTTATATTAGAATAATCTGAATAGCTATATAGAAAGAATTTAATAAATATTTATATAAGAAATCTATATAAATATTTCTAAGGTTCTAGAGATTATTTATAGGCTTCTGGAAATATATATTAATCGGTTATACTAATTTCTGATTAGAACTAGTATAAAAACTAGTAGTTAATCTAGATAGTTCTCTATTTCTATAAAAGAACCTCTTTATATTATTATATACTCTCTTTCTTTCTAATAACTATATATATAACAACTTTTTCTATTATTACTTTCTAGTCTCTTCTTCTATTTTTTTCTAAGTCTTTTTTAACTATTTCTAATTAATTCTATAATATTTTCTTCTGGCTTTATTATTCGTTCCTATAATAATAAATATAAAGGTAACTTTATAGCCTTCTTTCCTATTACTAGT